CTACTTTCTGTCTCTGCGGATTTGCCTATTCTAGACATTTCATTTTAAATGAAATCATATATAGCCTTTTGTGTCTGGCTTCATTTGTTTAGCATGACTTCTCAAGGTTCATCCATGTTGTATTTATTGGTATGTCATTTCTTTTCCTGGCTAATATTCCATTGTACGAATACAAGACATGTTGTTTGTCCATTCACCACCAGATGGACGTTTGAGTTGTTTCTACTTTTTGTCTATTATAAATAATGCTGTATGAACATTTATGTATATAAATTTTTGTGTTGAAGTGTGTTTTTATGTTGCCTGTGCTATATGAAAACCTGCCTAGAATGGGATGGTTAAATCAGTTAGTAACTCACATTTAGCGTTTTAAGGAACTGCCACATTATTTTCCAAAGCAGCTGCCCCATTCACATTCCCACTGGTAATGTGTGAGGGTTCCAGTTTTTCCACATTCTTACCAATTCTTACCAACAAATTCTTACCAAGAATTTGTTTTTGTCTATCTCGTTGATTATGGCTGTTTTAGTGGGTTTGAAATGACATCTTAGTGTGATTTTGATTTGCATTTCCCATGTGGCTAATGCCATTGAACAACTTCTCATGTTCTTATTGGGTATTTGTATTTCATCTTTGGAGAAATGTTCTTCAAATCATTGGCCAGTGAAAAAATTAGGTTATTTGCCTTTTTTTCTGTTAAATTTTTCAAGAGTTCTTTATATGTTCTGGATACAAGTCCCCTGTCAGATACATGCTTTGCAAATACTTTCTCCTATTCTGTGGGTTGCCTTTTTGTGTTTTTGATGATGTTCTTTTAAGCAGAAAATTTTTAATTTTGATGAAGTCTAATTTACCCAGTTTTTTTCTTCTTTTTGCTTGTAATTTTAGTTTTATAGCTAAGAAATCATTGCCTAATCCAAGGTAATGGAAGTTTACTTCTATTTTTCTTTAAGACCTTTGTGATTATAGCTCTTACATTTAGGTCTCTGATCCATTTTGTATTTAGTGTGAGGGAGGGGTCCAACCTAATTTTTTTGCATATGTATACCCAGTTGTAGCACCATTTGTTGAAAAGACCATCCTAATACACTTTTTTATGTTAATACATTTTAAATTTCATTTTTAAAACTTTTAAGTGCTTTTATAAATTTCTTTGGGATCTGTTGCAAAGAAAGTTATCAAAATAATGTAACCCCTCAAAGGGTATCATTTGTTACTATGTGATCCTGAATGAGGAATCAATCGATTTCATGTCTGTCTATATTTGAAACTAACATTCATAAAAGGATATTTAACCATTGCATTCTGGTTAAATATGCAGATGATAAAATTTTAAGATGATAAAATCTGGCCTCTAAACACCTTTTTGTTCCTATTTGTCAGTGGTTTCTTTTCATCTTATTTTACTTTGTTTATTTCTTATGTTAATTATCTTATTTGTTTTTTATTTTTGTCAGTTCGATATAGAGTGCCCACATCTAAAATGTTTGGAGCACAAAATAGAGCAACTGATCCTGTGGGTTCATCTCCACCACCTGGCCTGATTGGCTCAGGAGAATGCTGTAGTTACTAATTTTCAAAAAGGGTAAAGAACCAAGATTCTGATTCCTATTTTTAAAATGAAAGTACCCTAACTTATTCCAGTGCCATTTGGCACTCTCCTGCCTCTGATCCTAAAACAAGGCCACCATTTGGCCATTTGGGAGATTGACTTGCCCACTGGCTTTCTCCCTTTGGGTAGTGCCTGCTCTAAGCAATGGCGACTCCCTTGGCCTCTCCTCTCAGCCTGAACCCGAGGCTCCGAAAATAGACTTTTCCTGGTGGCCATCTGTAGGGCAACAAATGGATCACTGGAGTGGTGAGTAGGATTTGAGCCCTTTGTGTAAAGTGTGCTCTGTGCTCGCCTAATTATAACCAGAACTGTTCCCCGCTCCAACCCGCCATCCCACTTGAGCAGCAAGGGGTGGGGCTGGAGGGCAGTTAATAATGCTCAGGGTCACTGCCTTAGGGGATGGGTTGCAGGGGATTGAAAAGCTGCTCAAATTCAGTGCCCTTTCTTTAGCAAGAACAAGTGTGGTGAGGGAATCCATATGAATGCAAGTCCCTTCTGTATATATGTTCACATCTGAAGAACAATTTGAGAAAAAGCTCCTTACCATGATAATTAAAACTACTTTAGTTCTAGTATTTAAAATTAAACTAAAATTTATAGAAATATAGCTAACTCTAAGGGGAAAAACAATACTGATTTTAAAACACCAAAATGTCGTTGCAATGCAAATAACTTAAAATCAGGGTGATTGACAAGTGACAAGGTCTAAAATGAGATTTACTCTTGAACAGCTGGGAAAGCTATTCATATGTCTTAGGAAGATATGTGCCATTTTCCCCATGTAAAAGTAAAAGTTATTCTGGAGAAGAGTTGCCCAGATGAGCATATTCTTCCCTTAAAGCAAGACTTAAGGTAAAGAGAATTTGCTCTTAAAGCAATTTTATAAAAGTCATAATCCTTTTTGCTACAGTCATTTCAGACTTTTCTGTTTTGATTAAAGGACATTTGCTGTTGAATAAAATTAAGGTTAAAAATGTTAGGTATAGAAGTCTAATGTTGAAAATAGCATGAAAAGCCAATATATAATGAAGAATTAATGATATGAGAATTTTCTCATCTTCCTGGCAGCACATTGCAGTAGGTTTCTGGAGGCAAGGAGAGGGAGGGGATGGAAGCTCACAGAGGTCATATTGTTGCCTTGGAATGGGTATTCTAGACACCTGCCTGTGAGGGTATCCCTGGAGCCTGCACAGGGTCACTGCCCATTATGGGCACATGGTGAACCTTCATTCAACGAAAAGGCACAACTGAAGATCTGGCAACGGGCAGGGCCAGAGCAGAGGACTGCACCTTTCCCAGAAACACAGTTGTCTAATTTAGGCACCCTGGTTTTCAGCAATAGGCATTAGAAATTTGTCAAGAAGGTGGACTGTTCCTTATGTTTCCAACATAAGTCCAATGCTGTTGTCAGGTTGTGTTTGGGAAAAGAAGCCTTAAGAAAAGATGTCTTGGTGGTGGGTGGACAGCGATGTCACACCTCCCCAGGTGAACGAGCTGATTTTCCAGGTGTACAGCTCAGTCTTTCCTGTGTTCAGCTTCGCCTCCAGAATATATACTTGGACACCCTGTGAGTCTGTGGCCCCTCCCAGAGGTTTCTTTATTATTTCCTCTAGTAAAAAAAGTTGAAAGCATGGCACACTGGATTTGGAACCCAGGAACATGGCAGCGGGTTCTTTTTTGGACTGTGAACTGAGGTCAGGCCTGCTGAAGGGAGGAGGATGCCCGTGCTGCTCAGCAGGCCTGGCACGACCATGACTGCTTTCCTTGTGGATGGCAAGTTGCTTTTGGAGTTAAGATTGACTGTCTCACACCAGATCGCTTTTTATCAAGCAAAGCTGCATCCACCATGTTAGGCAGCCTGGATTTATTATATGCTTCATTCATGGCCAATGCTAAGGCACACAACTTAGAGTTATCAAAAGACCTTATTCTCCAGAATTCACAATGCTCTACATATAACTTAAACATTTTCTAAGTGTGGTAAAATATACATAACACAAGAATTTCCCTTTTAACCATTTTAAGTGTACATTTCAGTGTCGTTACATACATTCATCATTTTGTGAAACCATCACCAAAAAGTATCTTCAAAACTTTTTCATCTTCCCTAACAGAAACTGTAACTATTAAGCAATAACTTCCCATTCTACCCTCACCCCCAGCCCATGTAACTTCTAATCTACCTTATGTCTCTATGGATTTGGCTATTTAATTTTTAAATTTTATTTTCAAAAATTATTTTAAATTGAGCTTAGAAGCAAGGTTTACAGAAGAGTTTCAGAGTTTCAGAAGAGGACTTGAGGTTTTACAGTTTTTCAGCTGAGCACATTTAACTCAGCAGGACTACTTTATTTTGCACGTTAGACAGTTGCTAGGAGAGATGAACAAGATGGAAAGAAAGGTGACTGTGTCCTTGAGGACCCATCGTGTATCAAGCACAGGAGTAGCTGCATGGATGCGTGTGATCTCAGCTGCTCCTCATGACAGCCTAAGTGAGCAAGTTATTTTTGTTTTAGGATGAAAAAAGTGAAGTTCATTAACATAAAAATCCTATTAAAAGTTGAGATTGAAAACCAAATCCTTCTGACCTCAGATGTTCATCTCTTCCTGTTCATCTTCATCACTTCATCCAGAGTGCAAAAGGACACGTAAGAGTGGAGTGTACATTTCCATCCATTATTACATTTAGCAGAGTAAGTTCTAGAGCCAAAGGTGGCAGCAAGGAAAGCTGCTGCCCATCATGTCGCAGAAGCTCCTGTCTTTTTTTTGTTGTTGTTCTTGAGAAGGGATTTCGCTCTTGTTACCCAGGCTGGAGTGCAATGGCGCAATCTCGGCTCACCGCAACCTCCGCCTCCTGGGTTCAGGCAATTCTCCTGCCTCAGCCTCCTGAGTAGCTGGGATTACAGGCACGCGCCACCATGCCCAGCTAATTTTTTGTATTTTTAGTAGAGACGGGGTTTCACCATGTTGACCAGGATGGTCTCAATCTCTTGACCTCGTGATCCACCCGCCTCGGCCTCCCAAAGTGCTGGGATTACAGGCGTGAGCCACCAGAAGCTCCTGTCTTACCTGAAGGTTCCAGTCACCCAGCCACTTGTCCACCCACATCAATTCATCCCATCATTCATTGGTGACAGTTAAATGCTGGACTTTGGGGGATGAGCCCGTGGCCCCTGGTGGCTGTGATGCCTGTGATGATGATGGCAACAGTGGCGACAGTAGAAGCCACCATCCCCACTGTTTATTGAGCATATTCTGTGGTTTGAGCCTGGGTAGGATGTTTCAGGAGTTTTAACCCTTGCATCCCTCCAGACAGGTGGCAGTGCGTTTCTAGGGGCACAGGGAATGGAAACTAACAAAGGTCAGATTGAAGCTGTCAAGAGATCACTTGGCTGGTGGCAGCAGGAGGGGCTCTTGCAGGGCTGTCTGACTTCTAGCCGACCCTCTGTGGTGGGTGGGCAGAGCCCCTTTTCTCCTGGCCATTTTCCTGGGCAAGACATGAACACCTCCGTAGCCAAGGGTCCTGGCTAGCAGGAGTTGGGGGACAGTGAGTTTGGGGGCTGGCGAGCAGGGATTGCAGGGGAGGATTGTTGGGCACCTCCATTTCTGAGTTCCCTGGCTGGGAGGGCTTCACAGTGTTTCAGGGGAGGTGTGAGGCCTCTGCTGAGCGCCCATTTTTCGTGGACCATGCAGGCCGAGGTAGGGTGAGACCCCAATGGCTAGGGCCATAGGAGAATAAAGGTGAGTCCACTGCAAGAATTCTGTGGTTAGTGCTAATTCACTTTGCACAAAGGAGAGGCCTGCTCTTAATGTCCGTTCAATCATATTTTGCATATATATCTGTCAGGTTTATGATCTTATTTCATAGTTCGCAACAGATCATCAAAATCCACTTAGGAGAGAGCAGTGAGGCTGAGATAGGGTGTAGGGTGAGAATTGATTAGGCTGTCAGAAAGCAAGAGAAAGGGGAAGGAGAGAGGTTCTGAAAAAGAAAATGTGAATTCTTAAAACCTTGTCAGCATACAAAGATTTATTCACACACCATTAAAATTTAAATTACATGATTTGGTCTGTCACTGAGGACAAATGGTTCCCCTTCCGCTGCATTTTATTTGAACGGTTTTATTTAGGCAATAAATACTTAATTGGTTGATTGTTTTAAAATTTACCAGGCTGCAGTAAATCTATATTTAGCAGAAACCCAAGTCATACTGTAAGTCATTTCCAGTAGGATTAAATTTATCTGCATGTTTCTCAAATCTTAAAAGAAATACCAAACTCTGGACTACATTCAGCTTTGTATTCTTCATTTCAGGCAGACATTTTCATTCCATTGGCATGTGATTCTTTTTCCAAGACTACATAATAAGGGTGGCATTTTTCCTTTCCCTGCCGAAGCAGCCCTGCAAGAGAGAGAGAGAGAAATTTGGTCTCTTTGATTGATGAAGTTTGGCGACCTAACCAGATGACTGTCTTTCCCTTCCAGACTGCTTAACTCTCAAATCAGCTGGAAACAAACTTGTTTTTCAAATCTATTTGGAGCACATTAAATAGCTGAGTATCATCATATACATAAGTGTCATTTCTTAACCATCTATGATTACACTGAAATATGAAAAGGTGGCTTGAACATTCATTTAGGAAGTGTGACGAGTCCGTAAGGCCTGTCACGTGGGCATCTTGGTTGACACCCTGGAGCTGTGGCCTGTGCCTCAGACACAGTTGCCTGAGTGAGCCATGATCCACTCATTAGCACACCGTCCACAGCCATTGGGTCAATAGCACTTACTTTGTTCAGTCTCTACTTTCTACTTATTAAGGATATGTAATTTTGATTTGTGAGGTTGTACCTATGAGTCCTTTCTCCATTCCAGCTGCTGTCACCTTTCCCTGGGGCTCTTGGCACCTCTGTGTTATACTTTTGCATCACTCTCTCTATGGAGTCTCTGCCAGCTCCCCCTTCCTCCATGTGCTTTGCAGGATGATCTTCCTGAAATGCAGATCTGATGGGGATACGTGGTTGCTTAAAACCTTTCAAAGCAGTCCCCTCTCCCTTGCCTTCAAGCCACCTCTGTGTCCTTAGAAGAGTGTACAAGCACTTCCTCCTGCCAGCCCAGTCACCCTTTTCCAAGCAGTTCAAAGGCAAAGGCATCTGTTTCTTCAATTCTAGTTCATTCTCACCCACCACTCCCACCCTTGGGTGAGAAGTACTGAAGGAAATCAGAATATATAGAGGTATGATCGATCAATCGATCGATCTATCTGGTATATATATACATACACATTATATATATTTATAATTTAAAAAATTTAACTTTTAAGTTCAGGAGTACATGTGTAGGTTGTTATATAGGTAAACTTATGTCATAGGGATTTGTTGTACAGATTATTTTATTACTCAGGTATTAAGTCTAGTATTCATTAGTTATTTTTCTTGACCCTCTCCCTCCTCCCACCATCCACCCTCTGATAGGCCCCAGTGTCTGTTGTTCTGTTCTGTGTGTCCACGTGTTCTCATCATTTAGCTCCCACTTATTAGTGAGAACATGTGGTATTTGGTTTTCTGTTCCTGCATTAGTTTGCTGAGAATAATGGCTTCCAGCTCCATTCATATCCCTGCAAAGGACATGATCTCATTCTTTATTGTGGCTGCATGGTATTCCATGGCATATATGTACCATATTTTCTTTATCCAGTCTACCATTCATGGGCATTTAGGTTGAGTCCATGTCTTTGCTATTGTGAATAGTGCTGCAGTGAACATATGTGTGCATGTGTCATTGTAATAGAATGACTTATATTCCTTTGGGTATATACCCAGCAATGGGATTGCTGGGTTGAATGGTAGGAAATCAGAATGTATACATGTGCCTTTATTTTATGAGATCACATACCTTAGAAGTGTCTTTGTATAATCACTCACTTTGTTGTTGATATTGCTCTTCCATATATTTCTGAGCTAGCAAGGGATTAAGAAAGGGCAATGGCACATATGAAGCCTTTAGCTGACTTCCCCTCCCGAGATATTTGAAAGACAATTAAGTCACTCAGTAAATGAATTGCCTCAGAGAAGATTATAATGTTGAACTTAATTTCTTTTACCAGCTTTCCATTTCCTTGAAATGCATCTAATCAACTTCTATTAACCGTCCTGGAAAATTTTTTTGGTTTACAGATCTTTTTGTTTTAAATTAAGGGTTACCACTAATTTAAGAAATTTAGGTTGAAAATGTTACTTTTAACAAGAAGGAAATGTCTTAGGCATATTAATGCATATTATTTTGCATATTACCCAGTGCAATCATAGTGTTTGGTTTTCTCAGCAAAAATGACACTTGTCAGTTCTCACTTTGATTTACTGACACTCTTGCCCTTCCAGGATGGGTTACCATTTGGAATTTGGAAATGCTGTGGCTTCAACCCATTTAGGCAAACATAACCATTTCTGATTAGGTTCAGAGTGGTGGTGGTGATCTGAGTAGAGATGTCCATAACAGCTCTACATTTTCATATACTCTGAAAAGGGATTTTATAGAGATTAGTATTTAGAATGTCTGTCTAATTCCAAGTGAAGACTTTAGGGGTGGAAATTTTGAATACAATGCTTTATTCTCTCTTTGAAGTTTTGTAGGAACCTCATGGGTTGGTTTTGCAAAAGCAATTTGAAGATATTCCACATTAGTTTGAATACTTTGTATTTAAGAATTAGACTGTTTAAGGTTTGGGAGTACTAGCGTGAAATTGAGGTAATGGGACTTTAGATATATGATGATGAAAGTGTGTGTGGAAGACATGTGGCAAAATGTTGACTTTTGCTCCTCAGTTTTTCTTGTATGACATGAGTTGAATTCTTTTGATCAAAATCTGCATGTTCTTGCCAGGTGTGGTGGCTCACAACTATAACCCCAGCACTTTGGGAGGCTGAGAGTCAGGAGCATTGCTTGAGCCCAGGTGTTCCAGACCAGCCTGGGCAATATGGTGAAACGCTGTCTCTACTAAAAATACAAAAAATTAGCTGGGCGTGGTGGTGTGCATCTGTAGTCCCAGCTACTCAGAAGGCTGAGGTAGGAGGATTGCTTGAGCCTAGGAGGCAGAGGTTGTAGTGAGCCAAGATCGCGCCATTGCATTCCAGCCTGGGCAAGAGGGTGAGACCTTGTCTCAAAAAATAAAATAAAATCTGCATGTTCTTGCTATAAATGGAAATTTTATTTTCATAAATAAGACTAAAATAGTGGTCTTGTTTGGGGAGAATTAACACAGGAGGGGAAGAGTAGAAACAGTGTATGGTTCTAAAAAGAACTTACAATGTTAAAATCATGGTCTTACTACTTTTATAGTAGGTCTGGCTATAAACATGTTAAATTTTTACCCAGTATCAAATTCAAGGAAAATGATGTGAAATAACACTGGATGCATTCAAAGGAATTTTAAAATAATTATAATTTGCCGTCTTCTCCTTGGCCAGAGGGTACATTGGAATCTGACTTTGAGTTGTGCAGGCAAAAGGAATTATTCCACTTTTCTCTATTTGGCTTTGCTCTGTTGTTGACTATTCCTCTTGGGTTCAAGTGGAGGCCTCTTGGACAGCTGGTGGCCAGGGCAGCTGTAATGACCCAACTCTAGTGTGCCCCTCCCCAGGATGGAGCTCCCAATTTAGCTGTTGGGTTTGAGCATAAAATGCCACAGCATAGCAATCCTAGCTCTTGATTTCTGTTTAAATAAGAAGGCAGATGCTTCACACATGTTTTCATGAATTTATATAAACCATGGAAGGAAAGAATGCTGATATTCAATAGGAACCCTGTAACAACTTGTTACTTGTAATTTTTGGGTTTACTGTAAGAGCAAATGCAGAAAGCAAACCTGCATCTGTGCTGACACTGGGTTGGGACTAACCCATGCTCTTTTAAGTGCCTAAGTAGTGGGTGAATGGGGCGTCTATAAATAGTAAGTTAGTGTGTCTGATGGACCTCAGAGACTGGAGGGATTCCTTGGGCCGGCGTTGTCTCATGTGGCCACATGTGGCCAGGGAGGAACACAGCTGAGAGGAAGGAGGTGCACTTTCTTTTGCCTTTCTTTCCACATCGAGAAGAGTAGATCCATGAGTCAGGGAGTTAGCCTGCTGAGGAGTGCTAGCTCTGGAGCCTGGTCTACTGGGCAGACCTAAAAGTAGGGCTGAGAAAGGTTTTGCCTTTTTCCTCGAGGAAGATATTCTGTTGGCTTACATGACATTCGGAGGCATTTGATGCCTCCCAACCAGCTACCCTGCTAAGTTGTACTTGATTAACTCTTCTGTCTCGTCCTGAACTCAACTGTTTTATGAAGCTGAGCTTCTCTTGGAACGTGGAGCCTGGAAAGGAAGGAAGTGTGCCCTGGGCATTCCTTATAGTTGTACTGGATTCATACTGATCCGTCCACACACTCTCGGGCCTCTGAGACAGTGCCAGGCACATGTCACTCTTGAACTAATTGATGGTGTACACTTGTTAGCAGATGAGCTGCAGTTGAGGATATAGTCTGTGGCTATCAGATACAGTCAGATGTCATGTGGGCCAAAACTTACAACCTTGGGGTCATAAACCAGCTGTGAACACTCAGGAAACGAATCGTTCCATCTGAGCCAATCTGCAGTGTCCTCTCTCACTTGCCACCTGACACTGTAGCACCCCTTCTGGTATGACTGAAGAACTTCTAAGTGCCAGCCTGCCCACACCCGCTGATGCGTCAGTGTCTGCTTGCTGCCTCGGGAGGTGACTGTGGGATATGAGGTTCTATTATATAAGCTAATAGCTTTGCATGTGGCTAGACCTTGTTGGCTCAGGACAGCCGGTTTAACAACCAGCCCTTAGATGATACCGGCTAGAAATTTGGTTTAAAATATTTCTCATTCCCATATTATAGGGTTTTCTAAAAGCAGTGTTTGCCTAAAGTAAGAACCATCTTCTGGGACAGGGGTCAGGTGGGAGTGCTAGTTTTTGGCCATTGTCTTTTAGCTTATCTATAATTCACTTAGATACTTGATAAATTCCTTGCCCGTTTTGGTGGTTTCCTGACCATTGGGGACTGCCTGGTGGCAGCGCAGGATAATAAGTAGGAAGCCTTATGATCTGAGGAGATTAAATAGTAAATGGAGACATCTCTTGCTAGTCTTTCATTTCAGCTGTTGACTCCTCAGTAGTGCTGGATTTTTGATGTTTATCACTGTCTCTTTCACCGCCACACTTCTCTTACTCAGAAGACAAATGGTGAGGTTAAATTTGGCCATGACTCAGCCAATGTCTAGTGGTGGCCATTGGGAAAGAGTGTCACAGGTCCTGATAGAATTGGCACTCGGACCTTTCAACTGTTTTTAGTTTTCACTAAGTTCACTATTCTGGTTGAACTTATTCTGGTAATAAGCTGAAAACAATGTCCTCCTGGGTGTGTTTCAAAAACTAAAACATTTTTAAAAATGAAAATATAGACTAGAATGGCCTGCCACATGATAGTCATGTGTGGGAAAATACACACAAATTGAACTAACTCTAACTTTTATGCTTAGATGATAAAAAAAGAGATACTTTTGAATTTATCAAATGTTCATTCAAGCAGTAACCAATGAGGCATCTGGGTAGCTTCTTTTGTAAGACTGTTCTTAGTCTTATAAAGTTAGTTGGCTCTGAAAACTTTACAGTTGATCTAAAAGTTTGAGTTGATAATTCAAGGATGTTAGACTTTGCAACCTAAAGCAAAACTGAGATTGTATATGATTGGTTTTTTGTGGCTTAAATTTTAGAATGAAAAAGACAATATTGATTGGCTTTTTTTTTTCCCTCTTTAGAAAGCGTTTCATAGCAAAAAAGGTGATACATACTGTTGAAAACATATAAATGTAGCCCCAAGTTCAGGGGGTGTTGCTGGCAGATCTTTTGAAATAATTCTTCAGAATCAGCAGTCAACAAGGAAAGAACAGTGACTTGCCACCTGGAAATCCAGCTGGGACTGCCATGAATGTTTGTGGTAGTTTGGGATCACATGCCGGTTCTAGGGGACAGCAGGTCCATGCTGGTTCCTAGGTGGCAGCCCCTGTATGGATAGGCAGTCTGTAGTGTGGGGGAGCAGGTACCTAAAGAAAGAGAACTGTAAAGGAGTCAGCATAGCACCCAAAGCCCTCTCTCCTGGATTGGGAGACAGTCATAACTTTTGGAGTGGGAAATGGTGTTTCAACAAGGTATACAAGCCTTATTTTAATTTTAAAAAGCTATTTAATTAAACTCCATATTTGATTTTTTTGAAAAGGTGGCACGTTCACATGGGTGCAACTTTGAGAAGTAAAAAATGATTTATAGTAAAATATCCCACCTTATTATTCTCTCTCACCTCTGACTTTGCTCTCTGCTTCCTTCCGCCAAACTTCCCAGTTGGCCGCCACATGTAATCATTGTTATTAATCCCCACTTGTTTTTGTTGATGAAGACAAATATATATAATTTACCCTCCTTTTAAAAATAAAGGTAACATACCATATATACTTTTTTTCCACTTACTGTTTCTTGGGGCTCTTCCTATATTAGTAAATAAAGGGCTTCTGATTTCTTAACATCTGGATAATATTCAGACCCATGTATATAGGAATCTTATTTAACCTATCTCCTGTTGAAGGATAGTTGGTTTGCTATCTATTCTTCGTGGTAAACAATGCTGCAGTGAATAAGGCTACATATATGAGATTTCACACACGTGTAAGTTTACCTGTAGGATAAATTCCCGGAGGTTGGATCGCTGGGTCAAATGGTCTGTGTACTTACAATTTTGATAGATACTGTCAAATTGCCTTCCACAGGGCCTGTTCTAATTTCCTTTCCCACCAGCAATTTGCAGCTGATCAGTGTGAATGTGCCGGAATGCCTGTCAGGGCACCAAATAGTGATAGAAAAAGTGTGTTTTACATGCAGATCTGAAATGCACTGCTCCAAAATGTGACCTCACTGCTTCCTGATGGTGCAGGGGACCTACTGAGTCCCACTTTTGTGTAAGACAAGTCCACCCTGTGCAGTAGTGCTTGTTGTCCCTGCTCAAGGGCACACACCCAATGGAGCCAGAGCAGGCCTGAGGTCCACCTCGCTCTGCAGGCTGACCTTAGGGGCTGCTTTTCTCTATGCCCCAGCAGCAGCCCTGGTTGAGAACCTTTCTTAGAAACAAAGGATGCGATTTATTTTCAAAAACATAAATTAGTATCCTTAAGTAAAGCTTTGATAAATTAAATCTGATTAATTTAAGCATTGACTGAAGCCATTTTTATTAAACTTGTAGGAAGGGTGTATCAGGGAGATGAGCAATCAGCTTAAAATTTTAGTATTTTTGGAATTGAGCAGAAAAGTGTTAACATTGTACCATGTCACCATTTTAATGTGAGAAAGGAAACCGCAGCAAGAAGCTGAGAAACTCTGGTTGTCTTCTTCCTGGGTCAGTCTCCTTCATGGCCTCAGTTTCCCTGCCATTCCTGGAGCTCTGCTTCCTGGAGGTAACATGTCCCCCTCACCCTGGATTCATCCCTGCCCTTGATTCACACCACCCTAAACTTCAAGTCCAAATCCTCCTTCTCCTATGCTATGCTATTCTGCTATGAATTTAAAACTTTTAAGTAATGAAAACTTTGTTGATAATAAGAGCAATATACATTTGTGATTTTTAAAAAGCTGTCATTTCTATTTTTTAATGCCATGATTACAATTTGGGGCTATTGTTGGAGATCAGATTGGATTTGACTAGAAAATGAGGAGGTGCGGAAAAGGAAGTTGGAAATGGTCGGAATTGAACTTGAGTGAAGTTCTCAAAGTACATGAAACAGCTGCAGTCATCTCAGCGTGTTATTTCACCACTGAGAAAGTGTGAAAAGCAAGGTCATCTAACAACGTTTTATGACAGTGAATCTGACGAGAATTCCTAAGTACACTCTAAGAATAGAAAGAAGGTGGATGCTGCGGAGGGCATCTGCATTGGAAAACCTCTGCTGCCATTTCAATGCATCGAGCCACCTTGCCTTGTAATAGTGAACAATAGTAGAAGTACCTGGAGGCTCCATAGTGGGGCTGTGTGCCGTGGGCATAGTATCAAGGCGCCATGTGACAACCGCACACACTTCTGAAGGTAGAAGAAGAATGACATGAAAATAAGAAAGAGAAATGATTGCAGGCTCTTACATAAATGCAACTGACACGTGGGTTTTTTTTTTTTTAATTAACAGTGTTATAGAATGAATACAGTAGAAGAGAAAAACACATTTAAAAACAAAACAAATATCTCCATTCTGTTTCCTTATTCTGCTATTGTTTTTCACAGCAATCATCACCTTATACATTCAGTTCTGTTTAACGCTTGTTTTTAAAATCCGTGATTGTTTCACCATGATTGACATATTAGAGAACAATTTGAGCATAATGTGGATTTCACATTTGCTGGTTTTTGTTTGCAGAAGCTCTAGGTGAATGCAGAAAACTGCCTTTACCTGAACCAAGCCACATAGGAATACGCAAGCACACATCTACACACACCTCAAGCATCTCCCAGCTACCTCAGTTCATGTTTCATTTTTTGAGCTGTACCCATCCACATGTGGAGTTTCAATTTTCTCATTCCTGGTAATCCTCCATCCATCCCATAATTACAAGCCTTTCTGATGCCCACTTCCACAAACACATTTCGGTTTCTTCACAGCACAGTGCCATATTTTTTGTAGTATTTACGTACTGCTAAACCACTTAGTGTGTGTAAAACTGTGCTGCAGTTTTTATTAGGCTCCTCTCTTTTTTCCCCATATGCCCTCTGGTGTTATTGTGAGATCTTTTTCATAGTGTGGTGATTTTTAGTGACTCGTATGTTGAGTTATAACATAACTGCCTGTGATTGATTTAGGTTTATTGTTCATGTTTATTGTCTTGTCCTCTCTCCTCCTCCTTCCCTGCTAGAATGTCAGTACATGAGGGCAGGCCTTTTGATGGGTCACTCACTGTGGTGTCCTCAGCACCTAGAACAGGGTTTGGCACAAAGCAAGGCTCAATAAACATTTGTTGAATGAATGAATCATCAGATCATTTACTGGAAATAGCACTCTAACTATATTCTGTTGTAAATTAATGTTCTATAATAAAGAATTACAGTAGTCTGCTCTTATTTATAGTTTTGCTTTCAGTTACCTGTGGTCAACTACAATCCAAGAATATTAAACAAAATTTGAGACATAAACAATTCATAAATTTTCAATTGTGCATCGTTTGAGTGGTATGATGAAATCTCTTGTCCTTGTCCTTAGGCTGAAATCATCCCTTTGTTCAGCGTTTCTGTGCAGCATGTACTACCTGGCCATTAGTCACTCGGTGGCCTTCTCAGTTATCACATCAGAGCCTTTGTGGTACAGCAGTGTTTGTGTTCACGTAACCCTTATCTAACTTCATAATGGCCCCAAGGCACAAGACTAGTGATGCTAGCAATTCAGATATGTCAAAGAGAAGCCGTAAA